TTTTGCTCATGAGTTCATATTAGGCCTATAGCACAGGTTTATGTTAAAATCAAATAATAGCAGTTCACCAGTTCATAGTTCATATAGCAGATGCCAGTTTGTAGCAGCGAATGCCAGCCAGTGTGCTGGAACTGTTCTCTTCATTGCACATTTTATGTAGTTTGTTTTATTTTTATTCACGAAGTGAAATAAATGTGTGCAATATGTGGTCAACATCAGTGAATCTCTAAATCTATTCTGTTGTGTATAGTGTTATATATGTCAATCAGCTTCAGCATTAATAAGGTCGCTGATTAACACTTGAAACTCAGTGTCATGATGGTTTTAAAAAAAATCCAAAGGTAGTAAAAAAAAAAGGTATTAAATTTAACTTAAGGATTGCTGTATATACCCTGTTATGGCAAAAGTACAGTTTCCATAGAAACCTTTAAAACTGCTTCTGCAGTATAAAGGCCTTGTCACATAAACATTTAAAATGGTAAAATCACTTCATTCTGGCGGAGGCACCATGATCAGGGGATTCACCCATGGGCGCAAAGTAAATCCTTGTATATTTTTCTGACTCTGCTTGCTTGTATGTTTCCAATAATATTTGAAGGGACCAATAAATAATTAAAAGCACTCCTTCTTGCTAAGCTTTACAGCTATGAGGAAATCATAGCATGGCAACTAACAGTAAGTTGTGGAGAAAGCTTTTGGAACATCCTGAACACAGATTAACACCGGAGAAGTGGACTGCATAACAGAAGCGGTTTGAGAGGTTTCTGTGGACATTGTGATACGTTTGAACCCTCTGTTGTTGCCTCTGGAAATAATTGTCATCGCTGTGATGTTGACTGCAGCTGCTGTCCTCCACAAATGAGCAAGCTACAAACTTTATACAGTCGCTTTGCAGGTCTACAGGACCGACTGTTTGACATGCAGAAGGATTTTGGTGTCAATTTTGGGATACATACATAAACATGCATGGCTATCGGCTCAGTAACATACACATCCAGTTGCACAAAGCTCAGCTTGGCCATCAGACAGACCACACACACCAGACTGGTGTCCAGATCAAACAGAACGTTTAGATGTTAACCACCAGCTGAACAAACAAGTCCAGCCTCTAAAGTGTGCTTACTTCTCCCAGCATTCATCTCCGCACTCTTATTTTGTTTGGATGAAAACGATGGTCCTTACAGGCTGCCGTAATGTCAGCTGTGATTGATCTCTCTCCCGCTTGCTGTAGGCCTCTCGTCTGCAAGGACGTTGCCTTAGCAACCGTGGCTTTATTGGCTGATGTGCCATTTGGCAGAGCTAAATCTGTATTAACAGAGATGAGTACACGTTGGTTACTGAAATTACAAATTTAAATATGACCTCACTGAATGATACTGACATGCATGGCTGTTTATTTTGCTCAGTTAGTCTGTTTTTAAACTAGGGGAGTGTATTGTGGTTGAACAGTAAGCACAGTTAGCTGCCATGGCTGAGCTGTTTTTGAATCGGACTGTAAAAACCAAAGTGCAGGAGGGAACATGAGCTCTCTGGGTCTGCAGCCCACAATATTCCTGAGCCCAAGAGAAATCAGAACAATGAAGGTCACAGCCGCTACTGCATTTCCTGCGTGTGTGTGTTGGAGTTGTTGAATATGCTGTTGTTGTTTTGGAACCTACGGGTGGTTCCTTAATGTGTGTGTTTACACCAGAGGAAATCATAATTTATGTGAGCTAATAGCAGCTTATACTCTTCTTATCCTCAGCGGTATGGATGTGGCAGCAGTGACCCACAAACAAAGCTCCTCTGTGCAGATCAGCTGTTGTAAAACATACCTTATGTAAATTACTTCACATGAGTAGCACCATACTTCTGTTGAATCATAACATATCCCAAAGGACTTTGGCTCAGTTCACAGAGTTTGAAAGAAGCAGAGGATTATGGGCCAGGTTCTATTCCACTCTTGATTTTACAGTAGCCAATAGTACTTCCATTGGAACTCCCGCTGCATTTTTGGAAGCTGCTAACATGTCAGTCAGATGTTGTAATGAGGCCCACATTGCCAACTCTGTAATAGTTTGAGATAAAATGCTTTAGCAAAGCTGGCAGTATGCTGTGTGTGGTTTGGCTGTGCTTTATGTGATCACAGAAAGTCTGTTTTGTTTTATCTGATTAGTTCAGATAGACTTGGCTGCTTCTCAAGTCGTGTCCCCGACAGCTTTACTGTATTTCAGTCAAAATACTGGAATTGTCATCTTTTCAGTGGTTTATATGCATTATCGCAGACAGAGCAGGTATGATACATGTTAGTAAACAGAAGGAGACCTGGATACCAGCAATATAATCTCAGCAGTGATGTAATCCGTGATAACAGCCATAACCACCCAGGGATCGGTGACACACTGCGGCAAGTATGCTCAGAAGTAAGGCAGACAGTAGTTACGTCTCACATACCAAGCACATGATGAATTTCTTTCTGGTCTGACCAGTATAATGAAATTATTTCATTAAGTCCTTCCTTATAATGTGACCTCAGTAGCTTTACTCACGGCACCTTGTTGTCTGTTTTAACAAGTGTATTACGTGTTACTCTCTGGGTGATGACTTGTTGGCCCTAAGGAGTCAGGATGTCAGTTGTCATCTGGAAGACTACAGCAAATGTGATGTCTGTCAAGTGACCAGTGGGACAAGTAGCAGTGTTTCCCATACATTGATTTCTCTGTGGCACCACATATGGATTTCAAATAGGTTAAATCTTATTTCAACATAGTGCCGGGCGTAGCTCACATATTCACTCAGCCCCTCCATTCCCCGCTCTGTTTCTCTCGCTCACACAAACACAACCATGACGGCGAAGTGTCTGTGAACAGCTCCTCCTGTCCGTGTTTGTTCTTTTTAACATAACGCTGTCAATCGCAATATGTTATTAGCAGGCTAGTAAGACTAGTTAAGCTAAAGTTAGAATACAGCTGTTGCCAAGGTCAGCACACCATATATACAGTAGCATGGATGTATATGGAGTACTCTGCAAGTGGATAATGTTAGTTTATAAACTCTGATGCTGAATGTTTGCCCCCCTCAGTCCAGGGGAATATAGAAATATACACGCTGATCAGTCCAATCAGTGTGATTAGTGATCCAACTGATTCGTTTCTGGCTTCATCCAGTGCTGCTGAAGCAGCAATAGAGGGTCAGGAGGAGAGAACTGAAGAGAGAGATGTAGGAGGAGGGCAGCAGCCAACATGCTGCTTTTGTGGGAGAACTAGTGCAGAAGGGACAGGTCAGATGAACAGCACAACAGCACAGAGGGGGGGAAGACTCACACATAAAGAGGGAACAGAATACAACAGTTTGTACACAGCCCTGTGTGCTTTTAGTATATTCCAGGTTTGATACATTTGTGCAGTTCATTTTCAGCTTTCAAGAGCAGTTACCTCCATCAGTCATATGATGCTTGTCAGTGTCTTAGCAGTTCCTGAAGTGTCTACCCATTTGGTCACTCCACAGGCTTTTAATGTTACCTCCTTCTGCCTCTTGTTAGCATTGTGGAAAGAGAAGGCAGACAGAGCTTCAGGTGGGGAGAGAGGAGGGGAAGTGAATGATCAGAGTGCTTACTGTAGTGTATTTAACACTGGGGTTTGAATCACGACTATATTCATTCAGTGCCACCACTCAGCCATTCAGCCAATAGCGGCCACTGGTGGTACTGCAACGAAAAATCCTAATGAGGCCCAAAAAGCATTTTCCCCATAGACCACAATGATTAAAGAGACATTTCAGTACAAGTAGGATACCCAAAAGGGAAGATGTTGACAGGAGCCCTCACATTGTAAACCAGGTCAGCTATCAATCTTTGTATTATGAATTTTTGATAAACAGAGGGAGGTCTGGGCATCTTTGCTTAGACTGCTGCCCCCGCGACCCGGTCCGGGATAAGCGGAAGAAAATGGATGGATGGATAAATGTGTAAAACTTTTCCCAAAGCCTGAGTTTTATTTTCGTGATGTCATCCCAATGTAAAGTGTATGGGCCGAGCAGGAGTGCAGGCACAGGTGTGGGGGGAGTTTGGGGTGGGCACATGTGCATTGTGCCCCATAACGAGGAAGGAACCTCAGAAGAAAAAACTATTTTTGGTGTGTGTGCCAGGCAAGTGACTTTTTTTTAAAATCCTGGATCCAGGTTTCTATAATAGGTCCATGCTTTGAGCATCCAGCTAAGAGAGCCTGGGAATCTGTTAAACACTGACTGTGCAGATTGTACTTTCAGCTGCACTGACACAGGTGTGGGCCATGTGTCCCACAGGAATATACTGTATCTCCCACAATCCTGCCAGTGGTCTTTCCTGGACTTTACTCCTTTTTAATATGTAATCTAAACATAGCCTTGTCATGTGGTTTACATTGATTTTTTAAAGTAAGATCTTCTGTTGTACTAGCTCATTAATATACTGTATCAACAACTAAAAAACTTTCTTCACAGGCAGGAATGTAATGAGTGTATAGTCTCTTGTTTCAAAATAGGTACAGACATTAGAAGGCAAACCAGATCAAACAACAGATCTCTGGTTATCACAA